AAAAAAAAAAAAAAAATGTGGTAGATGGAACATTAAATACGTCCTTGTCTGCCCGCAGACAGCTCTCTCACCGTAGCCCACACGGCCAGGAAGAGGTTGAAGTACGGTGCCATGGACGTCGGCGGCTCGCACTCCATACCTCCCACCGGTACCGGATCCCATTCGCCGTCACCCCCTCCCCCAACAAGCTCGTCGGCACCTCCCCCTCCTCCAGGGAAGAAGGCTACGGCTTCTCCACCGGCGTCTTCCTGTACCACTCCCGCCGCCGCCGCCTCCGCCGCCGCCGCCGCGGAGTAAGAAGACGCGGAACGCACGGAGCTATCCGCGAGGGATGTGACCACCGCCACGGACCACCGCCACCACGACCCGCAAGCGACGCCGCTACCGCCGTCACAGGCCTGCTCTCGCTGGACTGGGGAGGAGGCGGGTAGCGGTTTGGGGGGCGGCCGCGGGCGGTCGTAGAAAAGACACGCGTGCCAGAGCAAGGGCCACAGGCACCACAACAGACGAGCCAATGCGTAAGCTTTTAAGATTATGCAGACTTGGAGAAAGGTAAAAGGGTCACACGCACGCACGCACACACACACACACGGCAGGATTACATGCACGCTTCCCGAGCGCACACGCTGTCCAACGCATCAGCAGGCCTCTCAACATTATCCTGCCCCATCACACCATTCTTGACGACAGTCGTGCACTAGCAACGCATCTGCAGCCTGCTCAACACAATCCTGCCGCGGGTTCACACTGCTGTTGGAAGTGCCGTCACCACAAGTTTGTACGCATACGGTTACCAAGCTGAGCGTAATCGCACCGTCCGGCGCCGGCAGCGTGACGCTGCTGAGGCAGCGCATATGAAAGCACGAGCGAAGTGAAAGGCTGCCAATGAGCTCCACCCGAACACAGCAGCAGTGCTCCTCTCCCCCGCTGCAAGCAAGAAACTGCCATCAAGACAGCAACACTTGCATTGGTGCCACTGGTACGAACCACCGCACCAAACCACAGCCGTACGGCACCAGCAGAACGGCAGCGATGGAAAGCAACACAGGTACTGGAACGGACCACCGCAGCCAGAGCAAAGCCGTACCGTACCAGCAGCACCGCAGTGACAAAAACAAAACAATACACGCACATAAACTCACTCACACACACCTTGCACGCAGGTGCTCGAGGACTCGGCCAGGTTGTTGACGCGCTCCGTCCACCACACGAGCAGGCCAACCACGGTAGGGAAGACAAGGGCCGCGGTGTAGAACTTGAGCCACGCGAAGTAGTAGCCGACCTTGGTGCCTGGAAGAAGACGACGAGGAGGGTGGAGAGCACAAAGGGAAGCCGGGTGGGTGCAGGAGCGCGCGGGTCGTGTGAAAAAAAAATAAAAAAAACTACGCAACCATGGTACATGGCAGCGCACCAAGAATGCCAGACCATCGGCAAGAAGGCAGGATACCTACACACGTCTGCGACGGTTTCATACTCACGTCTGCGATGGTTTCACACGCGCGTCTGTGACGGTGCAACAAACACGTCTGTGACGATGTTACACACACCTGAGACGGTTCAACAAACGCGTCTGTGACGGTTTCATACAAAGCTACTTGTCAGAGTCTAGGGAACCAGCTGAGAACACACGAAGAGAGGGACCATAGGAGTTGGGGGCGACCAACGTACCACCTGGGTCTGACCCAAGCCGGGTCGCACCTTGACGTACGCGTGCCATGACAACATACCCGGTGAGGTATTGAACACTGAATTGGTCGAAGAACGGCCGGTTTGGGTGCTGCTGTGTATCACCGACGAAGCAAGGAGATCTACCGGCACCAACATCAAAAACAGCCAGCAGCAGCCAACATCAGGCGAGAGCAGCACCACCACCACCAGCAGCACCAGCACCCGTCGCCGAAAAAAACCACCATCAGCAAAGACAACAATTTCCGACAAGCATGGAAACAGCTCTCAACGACAAACGAACTTCCCCCGATTCGTGGAGAGGAGGAGCATCCATCCATCGCAGCAGCACGTCCACCACACAAGTCGGAACTGCGACTAATAGGTACCGCTGCACCGCGACCAAAGATCTCACCGAAGTAGGAAGCGATGGCGTCCAGGAGGACGTCTCCGCGATCCCAAAACAACCGGTACGGACACTGGAGCCTCAGAAGCTATTAAACCACCAAATCACAGAGAACGCCATTTCAAGAGAAAGGGGGAGAGGGGTTGGGGTGTTAGAACAAGGACTCCTCGCACCCGGCAGCACGAGAGCCGTCGCAAGCAGCACCGTCGCCGCGCCCTGACTGGCCCCGAGCCACACACGCGGGGGGACGGCGGACGGGGCGGGCCTGCGCGACTAGGGTGCACACTTGGACAACGACAATGTACTGTCGCCACGTGCGACGAAGAAGCGGTATTTTCCCTCCGTCGACTACTCTTCTACTGCACTCTAGACGACGCACTTTACCCTCACCTACAACTATGCTCCACGCTAGCCTCGTACACACAGTGCTGAACACCCTATGCTGCAACATATGCTCCATTATACCTCTTGCAGATACGCCGCACGCCGTATTTGGAGGCGGGCAAGCTGTGCAGAGTGACGCTGAACAAAAACGATGAAAAAAGGAGTTTCGCTGTGCTCGAGTTGTTTGCCACCGCAGAGCCTCGGCGGCGACCTCCTCCCCACAGCACCTGGCGAGACCGTCACGCTACCCACGGATAGAGATTCCTCCGTTCTCACCCCACAAAGCGTGGACCGAACATCCGGATCCGAATCCACGTAGATCTCACTTACACCCGACAAAATCGAGTCCTTTGTCCAAATACACACACACACACACACACACCACAAAACCCACACTTAAAACACGCAGCACACACGGAGAGAGAGAGAGAGACAAGGTGCTCACTGCAGCTGCCTGATTGGTGGACGGGTTTGAAAGGAAAGTTCCGGTTGGTGAGAAATCCCTGGTTGACCGGTGGTGTCACCGAGAGTCGCGACGCACACTACATGCTACGCTCTGTACTGCAGTACTGCAGTGCTAGATGAAGCTGCACGCCATGCTCTACACGTCGTCGGTACACCAGTACAATATTCACCCCTCCAAGAGTGTTTTGCTCGTGAAACAGAAACATCTCCTTGTAGGACAGGATCTTGTTCTCTTTCGCTTCGGCCAGCACGGAAGTTGCCGCCTGTTTCAGAATTTGTGTGTTTGGACCGGGGGGGACGGGACGGGGTCACGTGACGCGGAAGGCGACAAAGAGCAAAAGCAAGATGAGTGCAATGGCCTGGAGGGGGGGGGGGTCAGGGGTGGCGGTGGCGGTGGTGGTAGCAGCAAGGCAAGTGGGTGATCGACACTCCGGAGCCATCACATCGCGCTTGACCTAACATACTGACGGGTTATCCAGGACAGGACAGCTAGAGCTATTATAGCACAGGCGTTGTGACACATGTCGGCGCAAGCACAATGCACAAAACACAGCACACCGAACACACGAAACAAGAGACAAGCAAAGGCTGGACGACATGAACACATACATCCTGCCTTGGCGCTCCTACTGGAAGGGATGTGTGGGGCTGCTGCTGCTCTGTGTGTGCTCGAGGGAACGTAGACATGCTTTCTTGTGGAGATGCTGAGCTAACTAATTGACCCTTCCCGAGTATGCATGCATGCATGCTCGTGAATAACACCACCCAAAAGTTTGTCTAACGTATGTAACTACGTCTTGGTATGTAACATATCGTATGTCACCTGCACGAGCGAAGTCCGCTCTTCGTTAGAAAGGTCCTTGGCGTTCTTCGGTGGTCTCTGCATGATCGATCGATCGAAGGTGTGCGGCAGAGTGGGAGAGACGAAGGCGAAAGGACCAGGGGTGTACCGCAGGACGCGGGGCGGGGGGAGGGCAGGGGGGGGGGGGTG